AGTTAGAGATTGGAGAATCACTATCTATATTGTCGAGAGAAACTCTGCGCTGATGTTCTGCAGCTGAACATGCGAATAACGGGATATACGGTACCATAATGCGAGAATGACCTGAAAGAAAGATTATCGTCAGGGGATGGCATTCAGATCGTTCGGCATACTACCAATGGAGAAAAGCAAACGATTGCTAATTCTCGCATTAGATATACAAAATTTCTACGTAGCCCACAGACAACCCGGGATATTGCCAGTAAGCTGCGAAACAATGATCAGGAGGAGTATAACGACTCTATTTGATGAAGGCCGGGATGATGTTGTCGTAACCACAGCCTAGCAGTATCCACTATAGTTTATAAGCCATGGTTGCATGACTAGCAAAAAGCTTAGAATGCCTGACGTGGGACGCCACTACTTGACTGATATAAAGTGTACCTGACTGTTGCTAATACAAGCAAATACTTGCAATAGAGTCTCAATGGCTATAATGATGACAGCTTTCAAACCGCGAACCTCTAGCGATGATACGAGAGAGCGCTGAGCTGTCTTAGGCACTTCTTGCAAGATGTGCTAAGACCAGTAAGCCAGTAAGGGAGAGCGTATGGCTCAGAAACTGGCCTAGTCATATCAAAAGGCATGCCAGATGAATTAGTGCTCCGAGATGAAGGAAGCGCATGGCCTTGATGGGGTTAAGGTATCTTCCGGCCATCCACGAGCACGACCTCTCCCCCTGGTGGCCTCACATGTTATAAGAGAATGTCTCATTGTACTTGCCTGGCTGCTTGTTGTAATCTTTAAAGTTATTCCGCCTTAGATTGAAAATCCAGTACCCTAGATGGGGATTGCTGGCCGCTTTCCCGTGAAAGATGCTATCTGCTTGTTGTTGACAGAATAGGACATCGGTGACAAAAATCTAACTTGCCGTCTTACATTGAGCCCCCCCAACAGCGGTATGTACCCAAGCGTCGCTCTGTATCAAGGCATATGCCTCTGGCCGCTACACATGTGTCCAATTAACCTTGGTTCATGAGGATCTTCAAACCCCGCTTCAAACACTTTGAAGCGGGTCCCAAATCCTGCAGCACCAATCTTGCGAAGCTCCACCTGCAGTCTATATGTTAATAAATCGCTCTGGGCTGGTATCCCTAAACAGTAGTTGTATCCGAAGTCGAATCTACGTGGATCTTTGGAATGGAACAAGCTGGTGTGTCGGGAACTCAAAGATACTTTATAGGAAGCAACTCTCTATTGCGTCCTATGATACATGAAACACTATTACGTAGTATGCCTGGAATTTAGAAGGGAATAGATGTTCATTATAGAGCATAAATTGCTTAAAGAAGGGCTGAGTGTGTTGTGTGAAGTCGATATTAGTGATGTCGGAGAGCGACGGTCCTAGCAGGCCCGAGACGTTTTAGAGTTAAGCGAACCCGTATCTCGGACCTTAAAATAACCTCCGATGTCCGACTCTTAGCCCCTACAAGGATGAGGGTCCAATATAAACTCACTACTAAGTTCATGATGGGCGTGGTACCTGTTGACTGCTTGTGGAGCAAGAGTACGTAAGCTCAGACTTGAGTTTCCTCAGAAGCCCTGATGCTGCTGGCCACGGATACAAGCCAGGGCATGCAGGAGGAGTTTCCACCCATCTAAATTGGTTTTTTACACAACGAGCCATATATCGCGCGCAAAGTTCACGCAATTGATGTCGTAGACTTGCTCAATTTGAAACCTGGCTTAATACAGATGGCGCCTCCTTAGACAGACCTTGAAGAATAAATGCTTTCAGGTTCGACTTTGAGGATTAATAAATAGCAAGCGAATCCCGCTGCTTCAGCCAGATCCATCCATCATCAGAAAATTCCTTTTCTACTTTCCACATTCATTGCCAACATGCTTCCCAAGCTTGCAACTTTAGTGCTCGCGCCCGCATTGGCGAATGGCGTTGCTGTCGCGGCCGAGCCCTTGTATAAGAGGCCCGTCAACATCCCCGGCTACGGCTACGTGCAGGGAAAGGCTGCTGTCAACTCCAGCGTGTCCGAGTACATTTCCAACTGGGAGAACATCTCTTTCTTTGGGGGTATTCCTTTCGGTGCTGATACTTCGGGCGCAAACCGTTGGCGTGATCCCCGGCCTGCCGAGCCCTGGAACGGCACTTTCAATGCAACTGAATTCGGTGCCATCTGCCCTATCACTCTCTCTATCCTGGCGGATTATGCCCAGAGTGAAGATTGCCTCAACCTCAACATCTGGACCCCTGCTACCTCGCCTGACGAGAAGCTTCCTGTGGCCATCTGGAGCTATGGCGCCGGAACGGCACCCCCGCAAACCACCTACAACGGTGCAGGTGTGGCTGACAAGGGAATCATCTTCGTCTCCTACAACTACCCCAACGGTGTGTTTGGCTTCATGGCGCACCCAGAGCTGACCGAGACCAACGGTCGCAACGCTTCAGGCAACTGGGGTGTCCTTGACCAGTATGCAGCGGTCAAATGGGTCCACGAGAATATTGCGGCCTTTGGCGGTGACCCGGATCATATTTCCGTGATCGGCCAGTCGTTCGGCGATGCGGCCACCAATCATATTGTGAACAGCGAGTTGACTGCTGATCTGGGTATCGTCAACGCTATCTCTGAGTCCGGTGTTCGCTCTCCCAATGACCCAAACAGCGGTGTCTTCGAGTGCGCCTATACTACCTTGGACGATGCCGAGACCATCGGTGAGGAGATAATTTCCTCCCTTAACGTCAGCTCCATTGCCGAAGCCCGCGCCATTGACACTACCACCCTGCTCGACTCGACCAGCACCTACAGTCTGGAGGTGAAGCCTGTTCTCGACTACTACGCCATCCCGTCCGAGTACATCAACACTCTCGAGAAGGGTGCCGGCAACAAGGTCCCCTACATTACCGGAAACAACGCCAACGAGGATGGAGCCTCCGCCACTGTTAGCACCACCGTCGCGGCATACAAGTCTAGTCTGAACTCCAGCTACGGTGACTTCGCACCCCGTTTCTGGGCTCTCTACCCCGCCGATAACGACACTCAGGCTGGCGAACAGGAGGACCAGATCGTCCGTGACATGTTCCGCGTCAGTAGCTGGCAGTACATGAACGGCTTCTCCAACTCTGCCGACCAGGTTGACATCTACACCTACTACTGGAACTACGGTAGCGCTGCCCATGCCTCTGAGATTGTCTACGTCTTGAACAACCTGTGGGCCCAGGGTGAGGACTACTCCGAGGAGGACTACTACGTGGCCAATGTCATGAGCGGCTACTGGGCTAACTTCATGAAGACTGGTAACCCAAACACCGGCGGTTCCTACAACAATGGAACCCTCCCTGCCAAGTGGAATGCCAACTCTCCGTCTAAGAACGAGACTTTCTTGGTCGGTGCTGTGTACGAGACCATGGATACTGCTGCGACTGAGCGTGTCCAGTTGATCCTGGATTACTTTGCCGCCCAGACTCCTTACTAGGGTCGTTTTTAGTGCTTGACTTGGTCATCAAGAATCACTTTGTGTAGAACATGTCACCTTGAATCATTTCTTGTATCCGTATCTTTGTCTCCTGTGTTCATGTATATTTCTTGTCGATCGCTTATCCTGTCAGTTGAGCCAATCTTTGTAATCATTTGGAGATGAATGCCATCGATGCTATTATGAAATGTACGAGTGCCTCCTTTCCGATCGAAATTCTTCTTAAGCCAGATTGTAGCACACTCGAATCAAGTCCGTTATAGTAGACATCCTCCCGAACAACTTATTGGTTTCCCTACCACCTCCAAGTAACGCCAAATGTATCCTTTTATTTTGTTTTATTTTATCTTTCTTTCTTTCTTTCCTCCTTTCTTTTTTTTTTTTTTTTTTTTTTTTTTTTTCTGCCTTTTTGGCAAACATGGCAGTGTTAGTTTTGCTGTAACCCACTGTAAGCCGCGGCTTCTATGAAGCTTTCTACCAAAGCTTCTATGTACACTTCATCCTTCAAGAACATATTAAAAAGACAGATACTACTGCTATACCAGCCAGGCTTTCTTTATACTAGTCTTCACTCATGCCATATCCTCTGCTTTTTAAAGAAGACAAGATCTATTCTTTTCAAAACATAGTTTTTTTTTAAAAAAAAAAAAAAAAAAAAAAAAAAAAAAAATTCCTCACCGTCTTCTTGCTTGAATAATTTTTTATTTGAGATACTAAGTTAATATCTTAAGAATAAAAGCTTTAAAGAGAATAAATAATAAATTATTGCATCTTCTATAAATCAAGTCTTATCTTGTGTAAATATAATCTAATTTTCTTTGAGTAGACCGAGAATATAGCATAAGCGAAGGCCGGTGTGGAGGAAGCCTGGCTGGTGTGGCGGCAGCGCCTTCCATTGACAATCGGCCCACTTTCCATGGGGCGAATACTACCAGGGTTCTCGTAGCCATCTTAACGCCGAGCAGCTCGGGTGGGACTGCGAGATTGGCGGACACAGTTTCGGTTCGGAATGGAGATCCCACCGCGGATGCTGATTCCACTTGCCGCGCGGCATGGCTCGGACATGACTCAATAGAGCTATAGGGCTGTTCCTACCTCCTCGCGGGTGGCCCAATTAACAATCTCAACTCAGAATTAAACCATTATGTGATCATAAGATCTGTGCGGGATACAATGTGGTGGAGACCCTGTGTTACAGAATGACCTCTGGAGAATTCTTTCCATTTTAGGACAATGTGGGGACCTTGTAAGTAGTGAATCATATCATAAGATGGATGAAGGTTCATTATCAATATACTTGACTAAATACAGACAAGCCAGATACTATATGCACTACTCTGAATATTAACCAGCAAAGTTGGTTAAGAAGTACTTGATTAGTGAAGCGTAAGCTGATTAACGAAGATAGCGCCCACGTGATGCGACGGTTTAGCCCCCACGGCGCCTGCATCCTTTCGGCAAACAGCTGCACGTCAGCTAATACTAGAGTTGTGCTGTTGACATTTTGACTCCTCATCCCACAGGCTGCCTCGTCTAAACTCGTATAATCTGTGCTCAATTCAACTCCCCAAATTCTTCTCGTCGCCCCCAATGTCATCAGCATCTCCTCAGGAGCTCGCTTCACGGCTCAACCAATCTGGTAAACAACGAAAGAAGCGATGGGTCACCAGGACTAGAACAGGGTGTATAACCTGCAGGTATAACGGGCTTCTGTCATATACGGGTGTGTGAAATTACTGACTCGACAGAATCCGACATGTAAAATGCGACGAAACCAAGCCGAGGTGCGTAAGATTGACTCAAATCCCTGAATCGTATCCATTGACAGGCTCGTGATATAGTTGTCAGAGATGCACATCTACTGGTCGGAAATGCGATGGATACCAAGACCCGCGCGCCAAGCAGATCACCCGCCGCAAGGCCGAGTCAGCCCAGCCACATGGCATGCTGCAGGTACCATCGGCGTGGAGTTTTATTGGCGACAAGCCAATAGACCATGAACATTTCCACTACTTTCAAGTAGTTACTGCTCCCACCTTGACAGGTTTTTTCAACTCAGGATTTTGGTCATACACCTTGCTGCAGGTTTCTTACTCCTATCCGGCTCTATGGCATGCTATCACCGCGCTGGCTTCCTTGCATAGAGACTTCCTGGAGGATGTGGCGCCACTTGCAATTACAAGGGCTTGTAGTACGGCCAGGGTGCGATTTGGCTTACAGGAACATACCAAATCCATACAGTCCTTGCGGGAGTTGATGTCGAAGCCGCGTTTGACAATACACGATAAGATGGTCATTTTAGCAACGTGTGTGATATTCATCTGCCTACTAAGCTTGCAGGGGTTTCATTCCCAGGCTATGGCACATGTTGCCAGCGCTATGGTTTTATGTCAGCAGTGGAATAGAGATTTCCAGACCCATTCCCATGCGTCTGAGGCTATAGCTTCCGTGATACTTCTTCTAGCCCAACTCGACAGTCAGGTCCGCCAGATCTTTCTAGTTCAAGGATTACCAGTCCCTTGGACAACCCAATTCAAATTACCTGCCTTTGAAGGGTGTTTTACGTCCCTCGATGAAGCACACGTCTCCCTGGAGGTCAAGGTCAACAACAACGCATTAAAGCTTTTAACAAGTGGCACTGATATATCTGGACCTGAAACACTTGCCAAGAAGGAAGATTGTCTCCATGAGTTTCGTCAATGGAATTCTAAATTAGACACATATCTTGCCGGCTCACCCCATGAAAGGGGTACCACAGCCGCGAACGTTCTCTACCTACGCCGTTCTTACGCCACAGTGATGCTCTCATTAGACCCATCGAAGGGCGAGCTCGCCCACGACGAGTTTATCGAGGACTACGCGCAGATGCTTGATCTCGCAAGCAGAATTCTCGAATGCTTGAATGATTCCTCGACGGAAAATTCCGATACAGGATCGAAACCAACAAAACGGCACTTCAGTGTAGAGAGTACAGTGACAGAGACCCTGTTCCTGATCGGGGTTCGTTGCCGTGAACCGACCATACGAGAACGGGCGCTGGAACTCATGAGACTCTACCCACGTCGCGAAGGCATGTGCGGCACCATGTTAGCTCTGAAACTCGGGGAGACGCTTACTGAACTCGAAAGGACAGCATGTCAAACTTCCCCACCGGGGTCGTGCAGTGAGGGACCATGGGTGTGTGCTGATCATCGGGTGACAAAGATACAATGCAAAGATGTCTCTGATCGGAAAGTTGCTATACTGTTGAGAACAGCTGGAGAGCAGAGGCAGGGTTCAGAAGGAAAATGGTTCACGTTCAATAAGACATGGTAGCTGCATCATCCTTTCCCATCATTTACTTTATAGATAACGGCATCTTCTAAACACACAAGGATGTTAAAGATTAGCCATGATGTATGACTGTTTCCGGAGAAGCCTCTACTGATATCAGAAATATTCGGATAATCAACTAATGTGGCCAGCTGTCATGTTGATAACTAACTATCTGCTGATGATAGCGGAACTATCGGCATTCGGCCCGCGCAAGCCTTTGTTATCTGACGGAAAGTCAGATAAGCCACGCGGTTATCAGACTTTATCGGTCTTATCGCCTTGGCTATCCGCAGGCTTCCCCGCAATTCCCCGCTCGCGATGATGCAGGTATAAAAGTCAACCAACAGCCTTTAGATGACCTATGCTACTGTAATCGATTGGGACGAAAAATACGTGCAGATCTTAACAACAATGGCTCAACAGATATCCAGCTACTCTCTTCAATCAATTGAGGTGATCAACGAAATAGGCAAGGTCATCGACGATGCCAGCGAGGAGCTACGCAAGCTGAATCTCGAGGTCACTACTCCACCATACGGTTCACTCGGAACAATATTGACGGTTTCAAAACGACTAGATATTTAATAACCCCGAGATCGCTTTTCAAGAAGTCAAAGCAAGTAAACTACTTTCTGACTGGCTCGAAAACCGCGGCTGGACCGTTCAGCGCGGTGTCTACGGGATCGAAACCGCTTTTGAAGCGCGATTCTCCGTCAAAGAGGGCGGTCGAACCGTCTGCTTCAACGCAGAATATGGTGTGTTCTCAATTCGTTACTCTTTATCATGCTCTACTCTCAACTACGACACAGACTAACCACCTACCCCACCCCCAATAGACGCCCTCCCCAACATCGGCCATGCCTGCGGCCACAACCTAATCGCAACCTCCGCCGTCGCCTCCGCCCTAGCCATCGAACACATGATCAAAACGCACAACCTCCCCGGCACCGTCGTCGTAATGGGTACCCCGGCGGAAGAATCCCAAGGCGGGAAATGGCTGATGGCACAAAACGGCGCGTGGAAGGGCTTCGACTCCTGCGTGATGACGCACGGTATGGCAGATTTCAGCACCCCGGTATGCTGTACTAAGGCGTCATGGAAACTGCGCGCCAAGTTCTATGGCAAGACTGCGCATGCGGCGGGGGGCCCGTGGACAGGAATAAATGCGTGTGATGCGATTGTGCAGGCGTATAATGGGATTGCGTTGTTGAGACAGCATATTCAGAAAAGTGAGAGTATTCAGGGGTGTATCCTGGAGGCGGGAAAGGTGGCGAATTTGATCCCAGATTATGCGGAGGGAGTGTTTAGTGTTCGGGCTAAGACGGTTAAAGAGGTCGAGGCGTTGAGGAAGAGAGTCGAGGGGGTGTTTCATGGTGCTGCTGGGGCGACGGGATGTAGGGTTGAGATGGAGTGGTGAGTTTTCTTTCTTTTCACATTGGTTGTTCTGCTTACTATGGTGTGATAATAGTGAGCGTGGTGCTAATTGTGGCAGGTTTGCACTCTACGAGGACGTCGTAACGAACGATACTCTCGCAGAACAATACAGGCAATATATGCTACAACATCTGGGCTTAATACCAGAGCAGATGGTGTCTTTGAAAGAAGCTAGAACAGTGCATGACTCAGCAGGAAGCTCGTCAGTCTTTCCTTCTTCCCTTTGGCATGTCCAGCGGAAGCTAACTACTATATAGCGACTTCGGAAGCTGCTCGTACATCTGCCCCGGTATCCAGGCCTTCTTTGACATTGAAGCACCCGATCTTCCACACTCCATTGGTTTCCTCGAGTCTGCGAAAGGTGATGTTGCGCATACAGAGGCGCTTCGGGCTGGAAAGGCCAACGCGCTCATTACTCTGGATGTTTTGACAAATGATGATTTTGCTCAGAAAATGAAAGATGAATTCAGGGCGGCGATGAAGGAAGCGGGTCGGTTGTCTGAGTAACTAGGCTATAGCTGAAGGGAACGGGTTCTTGGAAGATGACTAGGATATAGTTGCGCGTCACATACCATGTTGAGGGGTTACCAGCAGATTTGGAGTGCAGAATAGTGCGATTATTGTACAATTCGAAGTATTGTATCGGCTTGATTGCAACCGCGGTTGATATGTGTAATGTTTGTTCATCGTTACATCCCCTTGCTTCTGCCCGTGATTGGTAAGCAAGTAGGTGTCGACTGTGGAGATTAACTCGTAGATTTCAGGCGCTTTCTACAAAACGACTGCCTTTATTTACTTGACTAGAAGATTAGCTTTTGCATTGATTGAATATTATTTTCTGCAAGAATAATTCTAAACAGTGACGTGTTGTATGAGACACTCTTTCACCGTCAAAGCTGGAAAAAATGTGCTAACTGCGCTGGAATGGATTGCCGAGCGCACCTCAAATTTGTCAGCAGAAGCTGTGTTGGTCACATGACTTCCAAACGCAAGATGATCATCAATCAAGTTCGACAAGTGGTAATACATAGTACTGTACTTCTAGTTCCTGGGGTGATCGCAAGTCATGCTGCAGCCCGCTTTGTCGAGAGGTGAGAAGAGCAGCCACAATATAATGCTCGATTTGGTGGGCCCGATGAGGGAAATGGAAATGTGTAGCCTTTTGTATTGGACTATCTCTATAGATAGGCGCGCCAAAGTCCAACTTGGGCCACCGCGCTGTTATATTACACGCTAGCTGTTGACTGTCACTGAGAGTATCGAAGTCGGAATTGTTCCAGTAGTCGCACAGGTGTTGGAAATCGGCCTTTCGTAATTATTGGCTTTGGGTAGAGCTGCTATATCCTATGTACAAACAGGTCTTATACCATGACTTACTTGCATGTGAGCTGTAGTATTGCCTCAGCAGTACACATATCCTAGTGGCCTGTTTAAGATAATTCGGGACAGCTTGTCTTCAAAAAGGGAATGGTCAGCAGCGCCTTTTCACAGACCATGTTACGTGTCTAAGTAGATTATAATCATGAAATTGTTTCAACCAAGGGGTCCATTAAGAACACAGATAAAGTGCGTAAGCTCTCACATTCCAGTCTGATCGGCACTGAAATTGAAGCTTTTAATCGGGTCCCGTAACGCCAGCAGCAAGTGTATCGGCAATCATGCGTGACAAATGTTACATATTAGTAGTACCCATGTAGGAAACCGAGGCATTCGCGTCGTCTGTGGGCGATTGGTAATCTTCCCACATCACCCTACAGCCTTGACCCTGAGGTGAACATTTGGGCTGAAGAAAAAGCCTCTCCACTTCCCATAACCCCCTACCTGAGCCCTCCTGTTCCGAGACCCTCTAACCTTCTGCTTACACATCTCCGCCCACCAAACTGCTTTCCCAAGTCCACAATGCATACAACTACAACAGAGAAGCTACACAGCTTCCTACCTTGTCGAAAACCCAGCAATGGCTCAGAACACGTACCTCCACCACCACCAGATGGAGGACTCCAAGCCTGGACCCAAGTCGTGTGCATGCACTTCGTATTCTTCAACTCTTGGGGAATCACCACCAGCTTCTCCGTTTTCGAACAATTATATACCCAAACCTTACCGCAGTCAGCATCCTCCATCGCCTGGATCGGCAGCGTTCAGGTATCTCTCCTCTTCTTCATGAGCGCCCTTACCGGACGCGCAACAGACGCCGGCTACTTCAGAATCATGTACCCACTCGGGGTCCTCCTTCAGCTCGTGGGACTCTTCACGCTCTCTGTGTGCAAAACCTACTGGCAGATATTCCTCGCTCAGGCGGTATGCATGGGTCTCGGCAATGGACTTACATTCAACCCCGGACTTTCAGTCATGTCCGCCTACTTCATGAAGAATCGAGCCTTCGCAGTGGGCTTGGCAGCTTCTGGTGCAGCAACAGGGGGCCTGATATACCCTGTCCTCATCAACCAATTGCTATATAACCACCAGATAGAATTTGGATGGACAATCCGTGCAGCAGGGCTTCTCATGCTGATTACTCAGATCTTCGGTCTTGTTTTCTTCAAACCCCGTCTTCCCCCTCGGACAACTGGCCCCCTCATCGAGATCGGCGCATTCGCTGAACCACCTTTCATCTTCTTTACGCTAGCCTACTTTTTCAACTTCTGGGGCTTGTATTTCGCCTGGTTCTACCTCGGCACCTTTGCGCGAGACCGTCTTGGTGTCGCGGATACACAGAACCTGATCCTCGTGTTGAATGGCGTTGGTATCGTTGGACGTATCGCGCCGGGTATTATTGGTGATCGATGGACAGGGCGATTGAACCTCTTGATCCCCATCAGTATTTCATGTGCAGTCTTGATATTCTGCTGGATAGCTGTTAGTACTGTTGCAGGGCTGTATGCATTTGCTGTTGTGTATGGAATTGTGGGCGGGGCCGCGCAATCACTCATTCCCGCCACGGCAACGACCATGACGCCGGATCTCAATCGCACTGGTACAAGGCTGGGAATGATCATGAGTATTGTGGGATTTGCGACGCTGACTGGGCCAGCTATTCAAGGGGCGTTGATCGCTACTGATGGAGGTAGGTATATGGCGGCTCAGATTTTCGCGGGTGTCAGCATTATGCTCGGTGCGTGTGCGATTGCGGCGGCGCGGGTGGCTAAGGTTGGGTGGGGATTGGATGTGAAGGCGTGAAGATTTATGTGGGTGGGCAGTTGGATGAGTGTCGGAAGTGGATGCGAAGCATTCTTGGCTCTGGTTGGGGGGTTAGTTGAGAATGTGGGATTCTTTCTTTTGTCATGTCGGATCAACGATGCAAGTCGATCTGCAGATCTCGACAGTATCTGAAAGAGTGGCAATATGAATGCGGCTATATGTGGAAATAGATAAGGAGTGAAACAAGAAATGAATAATCACTATTGGATCTGGTATCATGGATTAAGTAACCCTGATGCAAGAAAAGAAAGCTCAATCTCCAATGAGTTGTGAAAGCTTAGCCTTCCAATCTCGCACGAGAGCCTGAGCTTCCGCTGTCTCATCTCTCGAAGTTTGTAATTCCGCACTCAGGGCTTGGTTCCTTGCCCGTAGCTCCTGAATTTCCTTCTTTGCATTCTCGAGTTGAGTCGCCGTCCGTCGCAGTGTTTCTATCTCCTGATCTGAAGACCGCCGATAGCCCAGTTCTCTGCGTAAGGCGACGATACTGAGATCACGGATTCTGATGGTTTGATTACTTTTGATATTCTCGCTCCGAAGTTCCTCTACTTCCCTCCTAAGGGATTCGTTCGACTCGAGCTCTCGGTATAGAACTGACAGGGCTGTATCTACTTCCGTTGGCACGCTCGTATAACGAGACTTGCGCTGGCGTCGCGGTCGTTGAAATGTCACATTATCTTCTGTAGCTTCATCATCATGGCCAAGAAGATCATATAGTCGTTTGGGGGCAGTAGGGCAACTCGCTGGTACATCATGTCTATCACCCGTTGGAGCTTGTTGTGTTGAAGAGACGCCTAAGGGCCCGTCCGAGGCGCTACTATGAGGATGTGTATTGGATGAGGAATTCGTGTCGGGGTGAGGAGCTGACGTAGTCGGAGCTGCAGCAGATGTTGGATCATTCCGTTCTTCCGGCGGTGGTGAAGCTGCTGGTGACAATGTAGGAGGAGTGGTATGCCAACCGCGACGGACGCAGATTGGACAAAAAAGTGAATCCTGGGAATCACGCAGCCAACCTGCTGGAATACAATCGGCATGGAGCGCAAGCCGGCAGGTTGAACAAAGCTCAAGTCTTCCCCCGTGCGCTTGACAAACGCGGCAGTAATCTTCGTGCGCCGATCCATTTCCTGTGGGACATAAGTGAGCACAAGGGGGGACACCAGGAGACAAGAGACGAAAAGGAATGTACTCACGTTTCCATTCTTTGTATCTTTGTACCTGGGTTTCAAGGGATTGCTCTTCAACCGCTGCAAGGGTGTCGGACCATGACATCAACCTTGGCAAGAGCGGTTCGTCAGGCTGGTTGAGACTTTGCTGTGTTACCCCCTGACGGCCAGTCCTTGTCGGATTGGTCCTTGAGGACTTAACTAGGGATGAGCGAACGGAATGTCTTTCATCTTCTGCAGCACGTGCAAGACGTCCCGTACGCGCTTTTCTCACGGCCATGACCTTAGATGAGCGATGTGATACCTGTCCTTGGATATATCCTGTTGGGTTGTCTTGATAAATGGCCGGTTGGGATCGTCCAATGGCTTGCTGAGTCAGGTAGATTGAGTGGATGACAAATCTAACTCCAGGTCAGCCGCCGTCGTTTTTTCGAAATATGCTTAAGACAGGTCTATCGTGAAACAACAATGAGACCATGATGCCCTGTGAGTTAATGAGTGCCCTATTGAAGCCCACATACACCCAAAACTATACTAAGTGTACACCTAGATATTAGAATGTGTTGGTGTGTCTCTTCCAACAAGTGCAGTCTTCCTCCTCAGTGATTACGTAAAATAACGTAATCAAGAATCCGGCATGGCTGTTACTTCATCTCTCAAAGCTAGCTAGACAACTGCCCAAGTGACCATAAGTACTATAGTCGATCAGTAGTCCAATATTGTGCAAGTCACACATAGGATGCAAAATTACACCTTCCATTTGCAAGCGACTCAGGCTCCTGCCAGCCAGACGCATATATCTCGGTCTCCATTCGAGAACCTTTGAACTTCCTTGGCGGGAGAAGCTGTTGTTGAGGGTCTTCCAAATGTATTGGCCAGCTTATCCACGAGATTGAACGCTATTTATTATTAAACAATTTTAAACCGTGGTCAGATTTACTACCTCCTGTTGTACTGCTATTTCATCTAGCTTCGCGAGACATGATAACAGCCCCAGGCAGAACTGTGATATCAGGCGGTGTGTCATTCTGCTGGCAGTAATCAGCTTAGCCCAGAACGGCAGGCGGGGGATGACGATGACCAGGCTGATCAACGACTGGCGAGGCTGTGAGCCATGGGTCGCTTGGATCCCTGCTACCTGATAAGCTTTCATTGTCCTCCGATATACCTCTGGCTTGGCAAAAGATAATCCTGTGGAAACCTCGTATTCCATGATGGCCAAGCGAAGAAGAGCATCCGGACCAAGATCAAGGACAGGGTGTCTCACTTGCAGGTACAAGCCGGAGCCTTGGGCGCCTAAAGAGCATCGTCCGACTAACCAGCCCATCATCCAGAATTCGACATGTCAAATGCGATGAACAAAAGCCAGAATGCTACCAGTGCAAGCGTACAGGAAGAAAGTGCGATGGATATGATGAATCACGCCCGGGGAACAAACAACAGCCTGTCGTCTCCAGTAAGCCAATGATGACCGTCGACCATCGCATGGTCCTTCGACCAGGAACGCAAAAGGAGCGGCACTATTTGTACTTCTTCTGCTCACAGACGGCCCGCGCGCTATCCGGGGTATTTGACTCTGATCTCTGGATGCGCCATCTTCCCCAACTGAGCGAATGCGAGCCGGTCGTCAGGCATGCCACGGCGGCAGTAAGCGCGGCCCATGAGCGGGCGCTGGTGCTACAGCTGAATCCATCATCCACTCCGGAGCGTCGAGCCGCTAATGACCGCTTCATTATATTTCATTATAACGAGGCCATCCGACATTTGAGGACGTATCTTGTGCCGCAAAACCCTAGAATCGATCTCCTGGTCATCACATGTTTCCTTTTTGTATGCTTGGAGATGTTGAACGGTAATCACAAGCAAGCCCTAGACCACCTCGAAGCTGGCCTGAAGATTGTTCAGAGCGTCATAGGGAAACTGCAACCTCTGGGAAGTAAACTAGGCGCGACTTATCTCGAATTGTGGAGATTAAGTCTTCGACTGAATATCCAGCTTGCAATGAACGGACGGCCGATGGTTGCCTTGGATATCAAGCCTACTTATCCCCAAGTGAAATGCTCAGATGGAAGGCCCGTTTGGTCGGACCCTTATTGGGCTCAACACGCACTCTATAAGCTCATGAACAAGACACTCATGTTCGTCCGTTCTGCAGGATATGAACGCACAGATCGCACACACTTAAAGCCCCAACAGGAAGAGCTCAGGAAGGACTACAAAACATGGGAAAGGGCCTTGGAAGGCTATACAAAGGATGCAGAAAACCCCAAGAAGGGCAATCGGCGCGAACTGTTGCTCTTGCGTACATTATATCTCGTCTCATGGATATGGACGGAAACATGTCTGGCCAGACAGGAAACCGTTTTCGACAACTATAACTCTGCCTTCGCGGAGCTTGTTCACTGTGCCGGCCAACTTATTGATATTGACGATGTCACTGAGCGCAAGTCCACGAAATGCGGCCCGGATATTTTCACATTCGAAATACGTATCGTCACAGGACTGTACTACACAGCAGTCAGGTGCCGTGACCTGATTATCCGTCGCGAAGCTATCCGACAGATGAGTCGGTGTACCAAACAAGAGGGCCTATGGGATCAACGTATCATAGTGAAAATCGCTCAACTGGTAATCGATCTAGAAGAAGCGAATTTGTCATCGTTGGACGTACAAGAAAGGGTCCCGGAGGATAGGGATCGTATCTATGAAACAATTCCTTCGTGTACGCATCCAGAGGATCTTCGAAGTACTCGCCAGGTTGTTCTGCTCTCAAAGCCTAATGGACCAGATGGTGCATGGCTGACTAGGGTCCGATTTGTGGAGTGGTCCTAGTCATTGGGATAGGTTTGTCTTGACGTGACCGTTCAGCGACGACGATATAAGGATTGTTTGCAGTGTACCATTTCCAGATAAGATACACCTTCTTATCATACCTTCAATTGATCTTAATATCAGATGTACCTTACCATGTCTATAAAACGTTCACTTATGGAAGATATATGCTGTGCCTTGTCGCATCTGATATGCATATAGGCCAGACGCACGCCTCCGTCGGGCATGACGACAACCCAACTTTCATTATTTACTATGTATATGGGTTAACGATTTGTATTTAGTTCGCAGTATTGGTGCAGATAATTTATAATAGCTCTACTTACTTAATACCATTTTCACACATTCCCTGGAATCCAACACCTATCACTACTCGGAAGCTGGCGTAAGCTGTCGCTTGACTAAGTACATACTTTCCGGCCACCACATTTCGCTAGTGTCAGCCAACTGGGAAATGACATTATGTGTCTTCATCATAGAAATGACCTGGCTGAGCTCCCACTGTCCAATATCCCTGATCCACCACACCCCATCTAGTAACATTACCAGAACCAGCCAATGTGCAAATATATCCATAGTTAGGACATGTATCGGAGTGAGCATCAATAGCGCCTTGGGTCCAGATGACAGTGGTAGTGTTGTATTCTCTTTTCTAGTCTTTGCAGCAGGCGAGTCCAATACGGATTGCACGATATCGAGAAATTCGGTTGGGGTTTTATTAAGAAAAGACATGATAATCCTCCTAAGGATCTGCGGCGCCTCCATAGACGTAACACTTATCATGTATCGAGCCACCCATGGTGAGACAGCACGGGAACCCTCAACCCCTGCTGTATGTTGAGTATTTGGAGATGGTGCAGACATCACCTTCCCCTTGTCACTTGCCCGTGGCGATAGCGCTGCCAATGTGCAGCTCTCCAGGACAGTTATGGTTTCGAGTAATGCATGGACCCGTCGTTGGTCGATCGTGCTACATGATGCAGGAGCTTGCAGCAGCACAGCATTCGTGCGGTCTGCTCTCCTACGAAGGCTTCTTAGAGCGCGATCACAGGTAGATGCCACGAGCGGGAGAAATAAGCGCTTCGTTGTCGGAGATGGACCGTCTTGCGGTGATAGAGGACTTGACATTGTCGGATGGGACTCTGATCCCGTATCCATCGTACTGCCAGCAGCAGTAGCGTTGACAATATTATTGAGTATAGCGCTAGATGCGGTATGTGCTGCGCGTGTGAACGTAATCCATTGCGAATGTTGCGGTAGTAGCTCGGTTGGGAGCCGTTGCCCGTGTACTTTAGCTGTGGCTGCTAAATGAACGCGAATGGAGTGACTAGCCGAGGCATACAAGACCATCAACGCTGCATTGGCGAGGACGTTATCGTAGCCCCGGGCTTTTTGCATAGTTGTTTGGATGTGGCGGAGGGATGCCGCATGATGGCCCTCGGCTAACGCAAGGAGGTCTTGAATTTCTGTTAGGGTTTGGTTACCAAGGTGCTTTTGAGTGTGTTCATATGCCATGTCGTGGCATTTGCATGCTGCCGCCAGGCTTAGCAGGGATGACATGACTGCCTTGCATTTAAAGGCGAGATTAGGTACCCCGACCGATAGAGCGTGGAGATCGAGGGAGTCGAACGGGATGGTTTGGCTGGTGTGCGAAAGATAGTGGGCTAAGAGACTGAGCTCTGTCGCATTGAGAGGATCCGGGGAGGGCAAATCCAAGTTGAGGATATCCTCCTCGCAATTCGATTGTGGCGAAAGAGGAAGTTGGCCAGTGGATGAGGGTATGGGGCCAGGAAGACGCCCTGTTATTGACTCGGATCCTGCGGATTTAATCTCGGAGTTTGGGAAACATCCCAGCTCTGTGTCCGATCCGCTGGCACTCGGATGGTGTTGATATTGACATGTATACGACAGTCTGGTGCATCGCGAGCATTTCGGTCTGGCTTCATCGCACTGGTGATAGGATCAGAACCAAAGGTTTGAAGTATGCAGGATGGAATCACAGCATATGCATTGTGCAATACCTTCTTGCGTAACTGCTTGCACCTGAGACAGCCATTGCGGGACTTTTCATGTGACTTGCGCAACCTATATCCGGTCGCTTGGAGATCTGAGAGCGTTTTATTAATGGCCATATTGCCGACGGCACGCTAAGCTACAATGTTGGACCGTAGAAGTCGGGGTTCTTCGCAGAAGGGCGGCTGGGGCGTATTAGTAAAGAGTCCTCAAGGCAAGATTGAGTTTACTCAGCCTCATAAATGGAGAAGTTGCCCGTGCAGAACATCAGTCTAGTAGTATTTGTCATGGCGGGTAGTTAGCGTGAGGCTCTGCTCGATGTAATTAACCGTGAAATTAGAGTTATTCAGTAGTCGAGCAGCCGTGAAGAAAATGAGTCGGGCCCTGGAATGACTTCGCCAAGAAGGTTGGGCAGAGAGAGTACGAGGTGCATGGCCTCCCCCGGGAACTACGCCCGCATAAGACCCTGCATGAACACGAGGTGATGGTTATATCGATGGATGAAATATGCGGCGTATTAGTAATACGCCGGGGTGGCCGTGCCCAGCCAACAGAGAGCTTGGCGACAACTTTGTATGGTTCGGAGACCAGTGGCTGTGATGTGTAGATTTGGAATCGATACTCTGGGGAATCAAAAGGTGTAAGATTAGGACTTGGCTTTGTATGTGGTAGCAGAATATGACAAAACGTAGGAAAAGCCTTCTGACCTTCCATGAATATATAAATCTCAGCGACAGCCTGCGTGATTGTACGTAATTCCAACTTCCTCATCCAACATCTTCACCATCTATCAGCTCTACAACCCTACTCCTGAGGCATTGAACACGAAGCTCAAAACCAACACGACATCATAATGATTTTCTCTTTCTCTCTATACTTCGATCTTACGATCATACTCGCTCTGGTCCTCCAGGCGAGAGCAGTGCCGCACCCGGTAGCTAAGCGCTCAAATTCCGACCTCAGCTTGACGGCTCAACTTCGCCTTGCCGATACGTAAGACCGCTGCCCTAATCCAAATTCCGAACTTTCAATCATCTGACTTTAATGATCATACAAGGGCCATTGAGCGCTACAAACTGCTCCCTAATGACTCCGACTTTGTCTTCAACTTCACCGGCACAGAACAGATCCCAGTAGCCACAAGCCAGAACTGGCCAGCACTCGTCGATGTCGGCGCCGCTATTAGCATGTCACAACTTCCAGGTAAGACATGAGTACATCAGAATGCAATCAAACAAACAGTCCAAAACTAATCCTCAAATAGCATGTAGCATGAGCTTCCTCCACCTCCACCCCCGCGCCACTGAGCTATTTGCTCTTAATTCCGGCCATATTCTCTCCGAAATGGTCCCTGAAGCTGGAGTTCTTGATAGTAACAACAGCCAGCGGGTTATCCGGACGGACCTGCGCCCCGGTCAAGTGACCATCTACCCGGCAGGTTCATTCCACACGCAAGTGAACCCGGACTGCGAGCCAGCGAACTTCACCGCTGCGTTTACGTCTGATGAATTCGCTGTGAGCCTGGTGGCGGAGCAACTGTTCTCCCTCAGTGATGGGGTCATTGCACGGACCTTTGGGCAGAGTATTACCGGGGATGATATTGAGAAGATCCGGAAAGCCATCCCATCAGATATGGCGATTAAGGTGGAGGAGTGTTTGACGAAGTGCGGGATGGCGAAGCGGTGATTGTGGGGTGAAAATGTGAATGCCTGGAAGGGTTGTTGAGGGGGGGGGGATAAGGAGGATAAGAATGCCCAGAACAGAAGTAGATAGAGTAGGTGTTGATTTTTATACTTTTAGAAAGGAATGGTAGTTTGAGTTTGTATTACCTCTGCGATTGGTAAGCTGCACTTGGTTGTCCATATCAATGCGATAAGAGTGCACTTTCCGTGTGACAAAATTTTCTACACCGACCTGAATGTCCCATCTATCGAAGCCCTTTCCGTCTACCCTTCAGGAAAGAAGTCCGTCGGTGGACCAGTGAACCTATGGGACGTTATCGCGAACATCAGCGTCAGCGTCACGAATACCGGTGGTAGGGCTAGAGCTGAGATTCCACAATTGTACCTATCATATCCCGTGAGTGCGAAGCAGCCTGTGCGCCAGCTTCGACGCTTTGAGCGGGTGGAGCTGGCTCGCAGGGAGAGGTCGACGGTGACGTGACCGATCCCCAGACGGGATGTGTCGTTTTGGGATGTGGAGGCGCAACAATGGGCTGTTAAGGGGGGTGAGTATACATTTAGTGCTGGGGCGAGTTCAAGGGATTTGAGGTTGTCCAGGACGGTTACTATTCGGACAGAGTGATGCCTGGTCCTTGCTGTTGTGAGGGTGATAAATACTTCTCTGATAGTCTGAATCAGCATAAATTATCTACAGTGTAACTGGAGACTGTAGACAGCCAGAAGAGATACGCGAAGGCAGAAAGCAAGCTCTGTGTTCCAATATGTATCCCAAATGTTTGATTAGCCGAATCCCAACTCGGGATATGCTGCGGTCCGTCTACCTTCCGAGCTGTTTCCCGGAAGCCCAAAATACAATACTGAACTTCCGTTAACTGTGTAATTTGTTACTAACATAGAAATTGCTTTATAAGCACGCACCAGATATTTATAATCACTTGCCCTTTACAATCTCGGTCCATTCAGTAATGCGGTATGAGAAATACCTTCTGGTGATATTGTATCTCAATAATGATTTCATTGGAAGCACCTAACAGCCTGAATCTAAACATAGTTATAGGTCAAGTAACGTAGAAGAACGTAACAAAAATGTATCGAATAGTGTAGAATATAATCCGAGTACAGTTATTTTTGTAATGTCACAGATTTGATTACCGGGAATCGGAATACTCGGACTCAGAAAGAAATGCCTCTTCAGGGACTTAAGCAATTATTGCGAGCACTGATTTATTGTACTATACAATTATCAGATGGAATCAATAAAAACATCCTCTTTGTAGGAGTTAGATGGGGTAACAGACTGCCTAACGGTCCCGCATTGTACCCAGTTACGTCACTAGTAATGTATCGGATGCACAAATTCCGTGAAGATAGCCCGGAAGCTAGACGGACCGCAGCATGTGTGAAGTCGGGATTTACTAAAATGCCAAGGTTGTTATAATCCCCACAGTCCGGACAAACCCCCAAATCCTTCATCGGCTACCCACCTAGGTTCTATAAAAGAATTACGTCTGTCTCGGTGTTCAAAAATTGCTTCCCTTCAACAAGACCAGTATATCTTGTTTCCCATCAAATACGTGCAATGGCTGTCAAGCAGAAAGTACTACTCCTTGGAGCGACTGGAGAGACTGGGGCCTCTATCCTGAATGGGCTGCAAGAATCTAGAAAGTTCGTATGTCGAATGGACCATACAGCAGATTCTTTCTCGGTTGTTGATAGGTATTGATTTCTCAATTTGGTTAGAATGTGGAGGTTTTAGCGCGGCCCGCTTCTACAGATAAATCGTCGGTCCAAAAGCTCCGAGAGCAAGGCCTTACGATCTGGCCCGTAGATCTTGACGACTTTAATGGGCTTGTGTCTGCTATGACCGGTACCGATATTTTCATCAGTGCTATTGGACCCAATGACTTGCTCCAGCAGAAGAAGCTACTTCAAGCAGCGAAGATTGCAGGTGTCAAAAGAGTCATTCCCTGTGCTTTCACCACGGTAGCAGCTCCAACGGGCGCTATGCTGCTTCGTGATGAGGTATGGATGCCGTGATTCATGAGAGAAAATTCAAGATGACTAACAGGCAAGTAGAAAGAAGAAGTTTACAATGCCATCAAGTACTTGGGTATTCCTTATACCGTGATCGATGTTGGCTATTGGTATCAGATCTCATTTCCGACTCTCCCGTCTGGAAAAGTGGATTACGCCCAGATAGTTCCAGTGAAGACTATTCATGGGGATGGAGCAGCCCCTAATATTCTTACCGACCTACGTGACATCGGGCGATATGTCGCACGAATCATACTCGATGACCGAACTATTAACCGATATGTTTACACGGCCGGGGATGTACTTTCGGAGAACGAAATTTACCAGATCGCGGAAGAGGTGTCTGGAGAGAAGCTGGAGCCGTCTCGCGTAAGTCAACTTTGTCTCTACTACCTTGTTTTTACTAAGAGCGAATGTCTAGGTATCAAATGAAGATATCGAAGCCAGTGTGAAGCAAGCCAAAGCCGCTCTCGCCGAGAGTCCTCACGATAACATGAAGCGCATCGGCGTTTTCGTGGCCCAGTATGAGCATAGCAAATACGTGCGGGTGGATAATAGTCCTCGCTATGCCGACTATCTGGGTTATGTCAATGCTAGAGAGCTCTATCCAGACTTCCAACCAACATCCTTTCGTGACTTCTTTGCGGAGGTCCTAGCTGGAAAAGGCAGGAAATTGTATTCATAGACTTACATTCAGGAACGGATTTGGTCCGAAATATTCACAACGGATCCGTTGCCCGGGGTGACATTCAACTACTTTGAATGCGGTTGGACTGGACATCCATTATTCCAATTACTATGGAATCCTATGAATTGAACGAAGACCCTTAGAGAAGATCCTAGTTCCATATCTCTCTGTAGTAAGACTCTGCTGTGATGTGACGAGATAGAACAAATCCAGGGACCCATAGCAAACGCACCAACTGGGGACACCTGAATTTGACAGTCCAATAGGATTTAGTGGATCCCGAATAGGCTAATCTCAGCCTCTCAGGATTGACCCAAATTTGGGAAGTCTCAGCCGGAACCCCGAAGCTATGCTAGCTCTCCGCAGAAGCCAGTGGTAGTCCAAAGCCCCTGTCAAGCCGGGCCCACCGGCCTTACTAGTATTTGATAAGAAGCAAAAGCGCCCCCCGTTCCTTTTTCAGCTGAACTCAAGCGATTGGCCGAAGTGATGACCACGTATCGGGAGACATAATTAGAGATATTAACAAGCAGTCGGCCGCAAACATTCTAATCCACAAGCACGCAAAATTATCACCTATTGCTCTCTCTCCCACACTTATTGGCTTCGACATAGATAAAATTAGAACACGAGGAGGAAGGGATTGAGCTTGCAGTTGTAGCAGAATCTTATATATTCATAACCTGCTTTGCTCTTTCTTTCGGTTTCTATACGCATTATTCTTCAATTTACCATCGGTATCTGAGAGTCCTCACCCTACCTATTCAGAATGTCCTTAGTCAAATCCCGGTACAGTGTAAATGCACCCCAAACAGACCTTCTATCCTACTTCTTTGGCTCGCCTTATAAGAATGAAGGAGCCTGGCCGTCATCGGAGCCTCTTCTGGAATCAGCAATGGAATGCGATCGTTCAGGATACACAATCGACCTGATCAAGGATATCGTGAAGCGAGTCGGTTGCGGCCTTCATCAGCTGGGAGCGCAAGGCAAGCGAGTCATGGTCTACGGCGACGCGAACATTAACTTCCCCCTGGCTATTCTTGGGGTTATTGCTGCTGGAGCAGCATGCAATGTTCTTGCTCCTGGTCCTTTAGATGAATTGTATTCCCAGTTGCGGCAACTGAACTGTGACATTGTCCTTTTCGCGCCTCAGGATCGAAAGCTCGTCTGCGTTGCAGCAGCAAGGTTGGGTATTTCTAGCGAGCATCTTTTCATGGTTGACGAGACTTTCGGTGGCGTGAATACCGACTGTTGGGATGACGGCGCTTTCAGACACTGGAGCCATCTTTTAAATACGCCTGGCGGTGACGATTATGAGTGGCCTAGACTGTCGCCTGCGGAGGCAAAGGCAACGACTGCTCTCCTGCTCTACACTTCCGGGTAGGCTGGCTTGCTATTCTTCTTTGGGCACGGATGTTAATCTTCTTATAGGACAACAGGATCTTCGAAACTCGCAGAACGCACTCACTATGGCCTTATTGGAAATATTGAGCAGACTCTACAGCACTATAACCTTCGGAAGAGAAGCAGAGAGACCATATTCTGCAATTATAAGTTCTGCGGTATGGGATTTCTGATATTGGGATTCATGCTCCCTCTGAAGGCTCGATATAAGACAATATTTCCTACGAGATTTGAGTCTGGAACCTTCATGCAAACAATTGAACGATTCAAACCTACCTGGCTGATGCTCCCTAAGCACCTGGTACGCGAGCTCCTGGCAAAATTCGACAAGCCCAGCTTCCCGAGTGTACAACATGTCCTCACCGGCGGCGCGATCATCCCATACGAGATGATCGACCAGTGGCAGCGACTACATGGATCTCAAATGCAGAGTACATATGGAATGACCGAGTAGGTGGACCTTGTGCTATCATTCTTACCTTACGCAGAGTAGGACTTACTCCTTTCGCTGCGCCAATGCAGGGCAGGTTTCTATACATTCCCCGATCCAACTCAGGTGGTAGAGGATGCCACAACAGGAAGTTTGCTTCCAAGTCTGGAGGCGAAAATAGTTGGCGACCAGGGCGCTTTGCTAAGCAGAGGCCAGAAAGGACATGTTCATATAAGGAGTCCATTTGCCATGAAGGGATATTTCAAAGAACCTGAGCAAACTGCTCAGACCATAACAGATGATGGATGGATCAAGACTGGCGACATTGGCTGGGTTGATGAGCGCGGTCAATTTTATATTGTTGGTCGCCAAAAGGTACGTCTTTCCCAGTTACATCCAAATACATGCACGAACTCTAAATGTTCTGCTCCATTTATTCAGGACCTATTCAAAATAAATGGCGACAATGTTTCTGCAGCTGAGATCGAGATGGCTATCTTACAACATCCGGATATTACCGATGTCGCTGTTATTCCAATCACTAGGTAAGGATCGAATGTCTCCCTTACCTGCTACTTGTCGTGCTGATATTGCTCCTATCGTATAGGGATGGAGACGAAGAACCCATTCCTCGTGGCTATATTGTCAAGTCGAAAGACTCACCCTTAACCATCGACGAATTGATGCACTGGATGCAGACAGAATTCACTTCACGCATGCATCTCCTTGGTGGTGCAACCTTCATCGACGAAATTCCAATCTCGAATGTAGGTGGGCCGTTTCTTGAGACTCAACCAATTGCTCACACTTAACCTTCAGGTTGGAAATAGCAAAGTCGACCGTCGGAAACTAAGTGAGCTCGCCGAGAGAGAGATGCAGGCACTAAGCCATGCAGAGCACGAGGCGGACAAGCCAAACCAGGGTGCTTAAATGTCTGTCTGTCCAACTTCCATTGATCGTTGCTCGTCAGATCCCGGATGTGCAAGAGCTTTACGTTTCTAGAATCGATTAAGGTTGCGGCCGTGTGGTTACATTGGACGACCTGCAAGGGACACGGCACAGATCTTATATAGAAACAGGTGGCAGCATGG